TTATCTAGTCCTGTAAGTTATTCCTCATTAATTATTTATTGATTCTATTTTATTTAATTTAGTTAACAAATTTTAATTCAAGTCTATCCGATATATTCAATGCACTTGGTATTGCTAATTCAGTTAGTAATATTCGACGTTTTAATTATATTGCAAAAGTAAGCAACGATTTACTTCTTATATCCTATTCTATCATATAAATATGTATATATTTGAAGGTTGTAGAAATTTTATTTAAAGAAAAATTAAGTGAACTAAGTGGTAATGCACAACGTTCATTATTTCAAACTATCGATCGAATGATTGACATCGGTATAAATATCTACCTTTATTTGATATTAAATACTTGTTCTATATATTATAGTTCTTAAAACTGGAGATAATATATCATTAATGCAACGATTAGTTACACAATTTCATAATTCAATTCATTCCGCATATCCATTTTATTATTATATTGGTTCAGCTGCTTTATGGCGTCAACATATTGATATGTTAACACGAATGAAAGAAACAATAAAACAAATTCAATTAAATATAATTAAACAAACTGAAGATAATAGTAAATTAACATTGAATTGTCTTCCGATTGAAATGCAACGTGAAATTATACGAAAATTAGATAATGGTACAGATATAATTAATATTGGAATGATTAATTCAAATTTATATCGAGTAACACAAGAATTATTGATATGGAAACAATTATGTATTTATCATTTTGGAGATGAAACACAGAATAATAATAATGATAATTCTTTAATAGAAGAAAAATTTCTTGATTTAATAAAACGACAACAGAAAGATATTGATATGGATAATATTGATTGGAAAAAAGTTTATTTTAAATTAAAAAAACGATATAATCTTCGAGAAGTTTATGCAGAAATGATTCATCAATGTCAATTATGTAAAAATCTCTTTTGGCAGGTTAGTTAAATAATTCATTATCTTCTAGAATTTTCTCTTTTTTTTGTATTTAAATCAGGATTTTCATCATTCATGTCCATATGAAACTCTTACACCATCATCAAAACCTGTTACTCCACGAAAACTTGTAAATATGTTAATTTAAAAGACAATAAATGTTTTTATGTGCAATAATATATTTTTGTAAATAAATATTTTCAATCGATATAGATATAATTCATATTTATTGACGGACAATTAAAGATGAGTCATGTTGTGCTGATGCAAAAGCTAGTTGATGATATTAACTACTTTTCACATCAGTAGCGAATATTAACTAAGTATTGTTTATTATTTTTTTAGTACGATTGATAATTCATAGGAGGGTGTGGGCGGTTATCTCTTTTTATACTCACATCCTCAAGATATTTGTTTGTACACACAATAACGGCTAAATAAAGTCATAAAGAAAGATTAGTTTTACTTGATTTAAAATGCATCTATTTTGGTTTTATCTCAAAAAATCAAAGTCGAGATATCTTTATTGAACATGAATAGTTTTATTTCTTCTTGATCTATGTTTTTTAGCCATTTTCAAATAGTATTCCTATATTATACTCTTAGTTCAAACGATTAACGGTTAAAAATATCTTCGTCTAATCCGCTATTCGAAGTGATTCGTTTGCAAAGTTGAACCCGCCCTAAAGTGAAATCGTTCCGCTGCCTATGAATGGCTCTATTATATATTTTGCTTTTTTAATCGTGTTACTTTGTTATTTATATGAACATTTGTCAGCTTGATCAGTATCATAAATACAAAAAAATCGATATGATAATTATATATATTCTATCTAACTCAAAACTATCATTCGTCATTATTTTTATTTTTGTTACAACATGAAAAAAAAGCTTATACATAAGAGAAATTTGCAAACACAATCAATCGAATAGATAATAGGTTATATATTAGCTGTGTGTAGATAATATTGATCCAGGAAGATGAATTTCTTCCAAACGTAAATCGAGTGCACTAACTCCAGATTTTTTAATAATGTATGCTCGAGCGAGTGCTTGTATTTGTTCCAATGAAACTGATGATGGTGCAAATAAATCAAAATAACAATTACTCCAAGTTTTTCCTGTTTGCTGATGAGTATGTATTCTTAAACCTATTATTCGTGGATGTTGATCGATATAGAGTATTTCTACACGTTGTAATGTAAATTGTCGAAATGAAACAAAATGTAATTCGTCAATTATTAAACCATTTTCATGTAAAATAATCTGACCGTATAGACGATTCATCAATCGTTCATAAGTTGAACGTCTAGAAGAGAAAGATAATAATGGGCCTATTTCTTTCCATATTCGATTTGGACCATGTATATAATTCAAATATCGTACCCATTGTTCGCCATCCAATCGCCATACAACTGGCTGTTGTCCATTAATGCTAAAATTTACATCTTCAACTTGTTGTTTTGTATAACAATCAGCACAGAGACAGGTCAACGCAAACATAATGCCAATACTCACTAGAATTACACCAAGAATGAGATATACTAAATATACTGATGAGCAGTCATAAGAATAAGTACTACATGTTAAGTGAAGAATGCCTGTGAATAATAATATTAAACCAATTAAGAGCAATATTCCAAATGCGATATAGAAATACATCATTTCTTTGCGTAAACTTCTATTATGCCAATTGATTAATTCATTTATTAAATAAAAATCTAGAGGATTCGCTGTTGGACTAAATGTAGATTCAATATTTGGTGAGAATGGATTCTATAATAGATCATTTTTGAAAAGAATTATTTTCGACAAATTTTTTTGTCATATCTCCTAATGTTTTCTGCACAAATACGAGAATGTGAATAGAACTGTATTTTTTTTTTCGAAAATGAGATATTTTTGAGCCTATTATTATAAAAAACCTAAATTTTTGACATTTAAAATAAAGCAAAAAAAACTGATCTATAATTCATTCGAGATATTAATCGATACTTACATTTGATTGTCTATCATTAAAAAAGATTGAAGTATTATTATTGGTACATATTGGTTGTTCATTTGATTGAAAATTCCTAGTGCTAAATATTGAATAAAGAAATATTTTGAAGTAAAAACTAAAGATATTCATAGTGTACCAGTTAATATCTTATATATCACCTAGCTTTTATCAGATTCTAAAAACTTTCAATTCTTAAACTACTATAAGTTAATACGTATAGACGCTGTACTCAATGATTAAAAATGAAAAAGTAGTCGTATCGAATATAACTTAAGTATGAATTAAATCTTTTCCTAAAGCGGGAATGATGTAGGAGATATCTCTCTTTCTGGAAGTGACTTAAAAAAATACAAAGACATAATGCAAGAAAAAACGAATAGTTTTACATACAATGCCGATGGTCGTATTGGATCAACATAAACTGGATACACACCCTGAAATAAACAAGAAAAGAAGATTATGATGCAACATTTTTTTTGGTCTGAATAGATTACATTGTAAACATTGTCTTCGTTGCTCTTCATATCGTTGAGATAGAATCCAAATTTCAATACTTTTACAAAGTAAAATCTACAAAAAACAATCGACTCATTTAGAAATTTCTATTGAACAGGATTCTTATTGGGAGGGTCTGAGTGTGGGTGTTAGATTTATTATCATTGAAAATATGAAAATACTAGAAAGTCATGTCCTTTTAAATAATCTGTTTAGTGTAAAATATCATCGGATGTGAGTTGTTATTGCCTATGAATATAAATTTTTTGAAGTTGAATGTTGATTACTTGATCAGACATCGAAATCAGCGCTTTTCAAAGGAAAGAAAATCTGTTAGGATAAAATGTTTTACTGTCCAAGATTTATTTTAAAAAATTAACAATTCTTTATGTTTAAATTTCTAATATTTATTCCCTGATTGAATCTAATGCAGAAACTGCATGTATTAGAGAGAAAGATCTTACTATTAAATAGTTAGATTCGAAATAATTGTTTATACGAAACAAATTATCGTCAATGAGAATACTGCCGCTTTATGACTATTTGAACTGAGATTTATTACATTCATTTCAATAAATGTTATAGTTACTTCAGAGATATGTGTGGAGTGTATTAATTATCACTAAAAATAATTAAAATAAAAAATTCGTATTTACGAAGTGATTAATAGATTTTAAAAAGAAAAGATTTTCTTAACAAATGTCGTATCTACACAACTAGTTTCTATGAATAAGCAGTTGTTCGAAACAGATCTTTTTAATGAGTTTAAAACTAGAATGAATGAAAATAATATTTGTTCTGATCTAACTACAAAAAGTTTCGTTATAAACAAACATTATCTTGGGATATTGAAAGTTCGATGAAATATTATGCCTACGAGAATTTGGTGTACTTAACTGAAGATCAATAAATATTGTATAAACGATATAGAAGACCAATGACTTATTTTTGTTGATTTGTATATGATTTATGAGAACTAGATGATTTACGAGAACTGAATGATTTATAGGGTGTGGGTGTGTATATCAGTTAGAGATCGCACCCACACCCACATCCATACTAGTTGGAAAAGATGAAAAAAAACAGAATTCTTCTTGTCATATCGGAAGTTCTAGCAATCCGGATCATAATATGTATTTTTTCATTGAGAAATTATCGTTGAATATTTTCAATTATATCGAATAAAATAGTACTTTTATACTAAGATGGTAATATTGTATTAGTACAATTAATATTAGTTTACCTAATGATTCAAAATAATATCATTTTATATATTGTTTGAAAAGAAGCGAAAACAATTTATTAATCTTTACAATTAAACATTAAACTACCCATTGTCATTTTACTACCTGGACCAATTACTATAGATAATGGAGCACAAATATCTAATGCAACAGGTGTTTTAGTAAAAAATAATTCATTTCCTTGATAACAATTTTTAAAATTATAAGCCATAAAACTCTGAACTGTTTTCGTTTCAACATCGACTAATAATTTATATGTTGTCCAATCTGGATCATTAGGAAACATGGTGCAATTACCATTATAAGTCAAAGCAGTATATGTAGAATTTGGTAATCCTGAACATGTAAAATCTTTTGAATTAATCCATAGAGATAAATTACAAGTTGGCAATGTAACTGTTAATGTAATATATAAACTAAGAATTATATACCCAATTAGATTCATTTTTATTCCAATTCATTTTACTATCGTCTTTAAATAGACTATATAGTTTATAGAAGATTCATCAGCTGCTTAAATTTCTCATCAATGATGGTTAGAAAAGTAAATAGTATGACACATTAAAAAAAGTAGTTTAAGTTCGTCATAGATGCGTTCTTATATATTAATACACAGTCATGATATATAAGAAGAAAATTAGATAAGATTAAGCAAAAAACGTTTGTAATTCCATTGGTTTATTACATAAAATAAGAAAACAAATCAACAAAAATTGTATAAAATATTTTCTGAGACTTATGTATATTAAACTGAGAATACAGTTGAACGGTAATAATTATTTATGGTGAACATAAGCGGATTATTGATATGAAGAATTACTCGGATGAACAAGTAAAAAGAAAAAGACAAATACATTTCAACATAGATTTATTATTTACAATCATATCAAAGATGAATGAATACAGAGAATGCAAATATTATAAAACAATCAATTATTAAAATATATAGACGAACAAATCTTTTATTTATTATTATTTAATAAACTTCTAAGGACTATTCATATTATTTATTCTATTAGAGAAACAAATTAAATTAATCTTCACAACTAAACATTAAACCACCTATTTGAACAACAGTTGATGGAGTAGACGTGACTATTAAAGGTCCACAAGTATCTAATGATAATGGAACTTTTGTAGTTATTAGTCCATTGCCATCACACGTTTCACCGATATAACACGTAAAATTGTGTACTGTTTTTTTTTCAGCATCGATTATAACTCTATATGAAGTTTTTATTGGGTCATCGGGTGATAGCATGCATTGTCCATTATATGTTACTTTAGGAAATTTTCCATTAGGTGATCCAGTACAAGTAAAATTCTCTAGATTTACCCAGAAGGATATATCACAAGTTGGTAAAGAAATCGTAAATGAAATTAAAAAAATAATACTAAAAACTGCGAATCGAATCATAATTTTTGTCTCTATAAGAAATATTTTTTTTTAATATAAATATAAAGCATTTAATCTATTACTTGTATGTCAGCTGTTGCTATCTCATCATCGTAATGCACATATCATATAACAATACTTTTTATTATTAACTAAAAAGAAATATTGAAGTATTTTTGTACAAGTGAACCGGTACTAATAGAAAAATAAGATTTTATCAGATTTATAGTATCATCTATACAATGTTCTAAATACGGATTTTAATTATAAATATAAGCCTATCTTAAGTAGATATAGGATAAAAGGAGATATCAAGTAATCCGGAAAATAAAAAATCGGAAAAAAATTTTACTCG